AAATAAATAAATAGGGTTCAGAATGCAGTTCTGTGCAAAGGTTCAGTCCCCAGTATCAGAAACAAAACAAAAACAAAAACACATTTCATACAAAGACCGTCTAGTATACACAGTAAATGCTCAATAAATGGTAACTAAATCCAGGCATGGTGGCACATGCCTGTAATCTCAGCACTGGGGAGGATCACTGCAAATTCAAGGCCAGCCTGGACTATATAGTGAAACCCTGTCTAAAACAAACAAAACCATTTGCTAACCTACCTTAATGACTGTCTATTGCCTGCATAAGAGGCCTCCACCTGGGTGCCACTGTGCAGTGCCTGCCAGGAAGGGGCCCTATGGGGCTGGGACAGGACTCAAGCCTGCAAGCACCCCAGCATTGTCCCCTGCAGAATAATCTCCACTCCTCCATCTCTTCTCCCTTTCATTCTTTTCCTCTCTCCCTTTTATACTCCCCCCTCTTTCCCTCTTTATTTCTGCTTTCTTTTTCTTCCCTCTTTTCCTCCACTTCTTTCTTTTTTCTTTCCTTTCCTCTGTCTCTCTGCCTCTGTCTGTCTCTGTCTCTCTCTGGCAGTGCCCAGATTGAGCCCAAGGCTTCACACGGGGTACACAGGTGCCCTGTGTACTGAGGTGACTGAGCTGTCTTCTCAGCCTCTCCTTTCATTTTTGGTCAGACTGATGAAGTTGAGTGACAGGATAGCTCTTTGGTTATTTTCAGAGGAATTGAAAATTCCTGGGGTTGGGTACCTCTGGGACGAAGAGGTAACTAGATGAGGGAAATTGGATTAGTGTTTTCTGGAAGAAGAGACAACATTTTAGGCAAGAGCCTATGCCAAAGTAAAAGATATTTAAAATGTTTACAGTTCCTTTTTTGGCCTTAAAATGTGACATTTACTCAATTTTTAAATTTTTATTTTGAAGAGGGTAAAATTAGCTCAGCAGCATGGTACCTGCCTGGCAAGCACAAGGTCTTGAGTTCGATTCCTGGCTCCAAAAATAAATAAATAAATAAATAAACAAACAAATAAATAAATAAATAGGGTTCAGAACAAAATAGGATATGAGATATAAATTTCAAGCTAAACGACCTGAGATCTTCACTATCTATCATATTGTCTCTTGTTTTCTTTCAAATAGTTGTCCATGTCTTCGCATACAGAGAATTTACACAAAACAACATAGTATAAAACTGATCTGAACAGAATGAGGAAGGCGTTTTAGGTCTTCAAAACCAGACAATAGGGAAGTCACTAATGGCTGTCGTAGAGCCTCTTGTTCTCTTCAAAATAGCTGTCCATACTTTCATGTATACTGAAGTTCAATAAAACAAAACAGGCAGTGGGGGAGGGGTTGCTTGGTTTCCCATTGCTCCAGGCCCCAGCATGGTGTGGGTCCCAGTAAACGCTGGTGGCTCCTATCCTGGACCGCCACAGCCTGCCATGCTCACAGCCACTCACAGGTGTTGCTTCAAGCTGTTTCTTTCTAATGAGTTGACCATTTCACTGCCCAAGTTCTGAAATGACCAACAGACCATAGAAAGACAACTCTTTAGGAAGCTGCCAGCCTTGATTCAGGGCCAGTCAAAGAATTTTTTTCAAAAAAGTTTTAAAACGGGGCTGGGGATTTAGCTCAGTGGTATAAGCGCCTGCCTTGCAAGCAGGCAGTTGTGAGTTCGATCCCTGGTACTGATAAAAACAAAAAAGATAAAAAAAAAGTTTTAAAACGATAAACAATGACAAGGTGTCCATTCCTGGGTTCTCCTTCCTTTCCTGCTGCTCCTCAGACCCCAGCATTGAACCCTGGACTAGGGAGCAAGGGGGTTCTCATCATCGAGGTCAGCAACACAGAGGGGCATCTCCTCAATGGAGGTGTAGAAGGTCTCAATAGGGGTGGGGGATTTAGCTCAACAGTGTAAGTGCCTGCCTGGAAAGTGCGAGGTCGTGAGTTCGATCCCTGGTACCAAAAAGAAAAAACAATAAAAAAAGAAAATCTCAATGTCTCCAGCATCCTCCTGCCTGCAGTACCCTTGTGGCCAAATTGTCCACCATGGTGACTCTGTGGATACAATATTCCCTGTTGGTGAGAAAGTCATGGTTGATGACTAAAGAAATCTGCTGTGCATTGGTGCTTTTGACCAGTGGTAGTCAAGGCTCTGCTTTCGTCAGAGCAGAACTCTCTCAGTCATGGCTCTTTCATTTTGGCCTTTATCTCCATGCATGGCAAATAGTGGGATCTTGGGCATGCATTTTCTCAGAGTTAGTCAACCTTGCTTCCCGTGTCCACAAAGAAGATTGTCTGGAAGGTGGCCAGGGTTGCTTACAACCTACATGATATCCAGCTCTTTCACCTCTCATTCTTCACTTATGTGGAATTGGTGGGACTCTCCAGGGTCAACTCTTCCTTCTTGACAAGAATCCACATGGAGCCCTCCATGAACTGCTTGATTGCCTCAAGCATACTGAAAGGCACCATGGCTGATGGCAAAACCACTTGGGCATTGCTAAGGTTTTGAAATACGTCATAGATCTGGTCCTTGGGTTCATGGCTTCACATATTATTAAGTTCATCCAACCCAAACATCTTGGGAGACAACTATCTCCATTTAAGCCTATCAAATACACTGTTAAGGGAATGTACAATGATACAAAAGCTTCCCTCTGCAGCCTTTGCACCTCAAAGCACAATGCAGACGTGGTAGGTGGCACTGGGTAATCTCCTGTATATCAAGGACTATGCTAGATGTCTTATCTCAAATCCACTCTCAAAGCCTCAGCAGGAAACTTCCACTGAGGAGGAAAGTGAGACTCAAAGGCCAACTTCAAATATAGGTAGTAGGCCCTGCATTTGAACTTCAGAACACGGGTGGTTAACCACTGGATAAAACTTCTCCATTGAGTCTTTGACATCCAGCAGTTGCTTCTATATCTGCTCCAGCCCTTAGGGAAAGCTCCTTGAGGTAGGAGCTGCATTTCACCACTACCAAAGCTCTAGAACTATGTAGACAAAGCAGAGAGAGCAGCACCAAGTGCATGTTGATGGAAGACTTGTTGCAGGACACTCAGATCCCAGAGGATGGGCTTGTCTCTTGGGTTGTGGCTGACGTTGGAAGTGTTTGTGGCAGGGAGTCCCATAGCTCCTGTTCACCTCAGGGTCTGCCCTGGCCCCCAGGTCAGCCAGGCAGAGAACCCCTCCTTTACTGCCTGATGATTCTGTTAGTTCCTGAATGCAAGTGTTTCTGAATCTAGAGCTGTGCTCTCTGTTGAGGTAGGGCAGAATACAGGACTGACCTGCCTAGGGACCTGGGAAGGGAGGAGAGGCCTAGAAACACACATCATAATGGCATGTCAGGGACAGGGCAGGGTAAAGGATGTTGCTGGCAGAGTATCCAGAGGCTAGTACCAGAGGAAGGGGTGAGAGTTGGAGTAGCAGACACTTTTTAGGCCTGAAAGCCAAGGGATAGACTGTGAGTCTAGTAAAATTTTCTACCATTGTTTAGTGCCAGAAACCAAATAATGACTTTGAATAACTCTAATTCTTGCCTTTTCCGGTTCCAGTAGTGAAAAGTGGGGTGCCATACAAACAGCCCCTTTTGAGCACAGTGAGCGTGTATTTAGCTATGCTTTAAATGTGGCTTGTTCCTTCCAGACCTATGTTGAAATTTGGTCCTTAAGGTAACAGTGTTGAGAGCAGGTAGAGCTTTTCACAGGTGATTAAATTGTTGAGAAATTGATGCCTTTCTCATGGGGTGCATCCTTGCTCTTGGGGACAGGATTCCTTCTCACAAGTATGTTGTGGTAAGCAAGGCCACCTTCATCTTTTGTCTCTTCCTCTGCCAGTGCCACTTGGCCTTCCATCATGAGGCCCTCACCAGAAGCCAATCAGATGCTGGTGCCATGCTCCCAGCCTCCAGAACCCTAAGCCAAAATAAACCTTCCTTATAAATCAGGTATTGTTATAGCACAAAAATGGATTAAGACAGAGTGTTACACAATCTACCAACAAATGATTGCAATCTTCATTGCACAAACAGGTCAATCATTGTCTCTGAAATAGGATAACAGTCGATAGCATCTTGGATCTTCATTTTATATCCTTTTGGGAGAAGGTCCAATGGGCCTTCCTATCCTGTGGCATGTGACCTCCTTTTTTTGAATGCAACTATGCCTGGAACTTAGGAACACAGACTCGAAAACTACACTGTTTGGGTGGAAATCCTCATGACTACTTTCTAGTTGTGTAACCTTGTCATCACTTGACCTCTGTTAAGTTACAGTTCCCTAACTTACCTGTCTCATTGGTTCATACATGCAAACCCCTTAAACAGTGATTGGCACATAGTAGATCACATAAGCTATTATTTTTATTATTTGTCCAGATATGTCAAGGTAGTTCTAAAGAAAGTAACAGAAGTCCTAATTCTCTGCTAGTATTAAGGAGGTTTCATTTCAAAGTGCTGGATTTCTTGCAGTGCTAAAGGAAACTGGGGGAAGGGATTAATTCTCATTTGTCCGAGCTGGGTAAGACAGCTCTCTGTGGGTTAGGCAGGCCAGTGGTGAGGTTGGGGACTCAGGAAGAAGTAAAATTGGAGTTAAGCACCTCCTTACCTGAAAATGATCCTCCATTTAGCCTCTGCACTGCCCAATGCTGTGCTATAGGCACTACAGTTCTGCTTCCACAAGTCTACTTTTCTCAGTATCCTGAGCTTAAAGCCCTGACTTGTTTACTTGCATCCCCAAATTATAGCAATGATGTTCAATGAATGTTGCTAAATAGAATGAAAGGAATTATTTGGAAAATGACTGGGGCTGAGATGGCACAGACTGTATAAACAAGTCTAGTTTACCAAGGGCTTGAAGAGGCTTGTGGGCCTTTGGAAGAGGCATCTGGGAGCTTGGAGTCCGGGTCTCCATCTTCTCAGCAACAGCCACAGCACTTCCTGAACAGCTGTATCATTCTCAAGTCAGAAGGAATCTGGCTTTCAATGACTAACATACAGCCTGCACATTTCAAAGATGTTTTATTAAAAAAAAAAAAAAAAAACGAAAACCAAACAAAAAGTCCAACCCCAGAATTCTTGGTTCTGGGAGTGTGGGAGCAGCTTAAGTCTGTGGGGAGGCTAGAACCTGGAAGACAGACAGTATGGGCTTCTACAGCCCTGGGAAGAGTGAGAGCCCCACAACTGTCAGGAAGTACCCCTTTTCCCAGGGCTCCTTTTCTGGCTCTTGCACTCAACTACTTGGAAAAGACTGTGGGGTGGACTGGGGGGCTCAGCCCCCAGAAAAAGGCAGGGTGGTCAGTCTTAGAAGGTCCTTAACCTCTTGTTAAAGTTACCAACTAGCTGGGAAGGACAGGGTGGCCTCCCAGGCCTCAATCAGGCATATCAATGCTATTCCTGAAGGTGGCACTCGGCCAGGCTGGAGAGGTGGGCTCAGATGGAGAGACACACTCCCAATTTCGGTGTAGGGCTCAAGGCCCTGGGAAAAAAGGGTCCTGAAGAGGCAGGACCTGGAGAAAGCCTCCTCCTGGGAGGACAAGGCAGGAGCCGTTATCTGGCAGGCATGTAGTGCTCAGGGGCCCTGGGGGCCGCGGGGCAGTGCCCTGATGGGTCTTGGGGGTGGATTGTCCAGGACAGGTTCAGGGCGAGCCCGCACGCTGACGCGGCGCTTCTGCTTCCGCAGCAGGTAGTTTGAATACTGCACCTCAGGCATGGCCAGCTTGATGCAGGCCTCAGTGGCGGGGCCAGCGCCACCTGCACCACCTGGCAGGTCATAGCCCATGATGTCCACCTTGCGGCTGGGCTGCCACGGCTGAAGCTGTTTGGTGCGGATCTGCGCAGCCGGCCTCAGAACCGGCTTGTCGCCGAAGCAGCGGCGGAGAAGGCGCTGGCGAGCCTCGCGCAGCTCCTGCGCCTCACGCTCCACGCATGCGCGACCAGCGCGCGCCACGCGGCGCCAGAAGGTGGCGTTGAAGTGGTCGTAGAGGCCAGCGTCTAGCGCGTTCCAGGCGCGCGCCGCCTGCGCCAACGCTGCAGGGATGGCGGCCAGGCGCGAGCTAGCGGCGCGCGCGTTGAGCTTGGCGTAGAGCACGTCGTCCAGATCCCAGGCCAGTAGACGCCGCAACAGTACTAGCGACTCATCGAAGTACTCGGCGATCATCACGAGTGAGAAGACCTCCTCCACCTGGCGGATGAGACCCTCCAGGTAGGCCGCGTCGTTCCGTGGGCTGCGCTCGTTGTCACCGCCCAGATCATAGGCCAAAGTGTTGTGCGCGAACATGGCGAAGTGCTCACCCGCGCGATAGTAGGCTTCCGGCGCGTGCAGGAAGGCTTCCAGTGACGCGTTAGGCACGCGCCGGAAGGCCGGGCAGTACTGGTTGTAGTAGCTGAAGAGCGACTCAAACATGGCAGCTGGCTCACGCAGGATGGTGACGTAGATGGTACCCGGCGGCATAAGGCGCTCAAGCTCCGCGCGGTCGAAGCGCAGGTGGCTGGCCAACACTTGTGGCGGTCGGGTGGCCGGATGCACGAAGTGCGCTGAGAAGTTACGTGGGTAGCAGAACTGGTGTTCGCAGCTAGGGTGCGGCAGGGCCACCGTCAGATTGTGGCGCTCGGCGAAGCGGAACAGGATATTCTGCACCGTAGTGCCTGCTGTCTTGTGCGTCTTAAGAAAGGCCACTGTCATGTGCTTGGGACGCGGCGGAGACTCCCGCAGAGGAGGGCAGCTCAGGGGGAACAGCTTGGGGTACCTGCAGGACCCAGGGGTGTGCCAGAGGAGTGTGTGAGAGAGTGCAGCGTGACTCTCCCTCCTCTCCCAGGACAGCGGACATGTCCCGGAATAGCCCAGCCAGAGCTTCACCAATGGAATAGAGGCGTCATGAAGACGCTAAAATGAGCCTTTTAATCACCGCTAGCCTCCTGAGCATCCCTGTATGGGAGATACCACGTGGGAACAGCCTCTAGTTAAAGTGTGAGTAGGTTCCATTAACCTCCTGCAAGAACTGAAGACTGCCAGAAACATGACTGAGGTTGGAAGGGAAACTCAGTCCAGACTTACACTGTGGGGGCTGGGGTTTTAACTCAGTGGTGCAGCGTCTACTTGGAAGCATGAAGTCAAGTCCGATTCCTGGCAGACTGCAAGAGCAAGACCCTGAACCAGAGCTACCTAGGAAACTACTCCTGGATTCCTGACCCACAGAATCTGAGAGAAAATAAATACTTCTTGTATTCATCTGCTATAGTTTTAAATTAATTTATTTGGGACTGGGGATATAGTTCAGCGGCACAGTGCCTGCCTGGCAAGTGTGAAGTCGTGAGTTTGATTCCTAGTGTGGGGAGGCCACAGTAAATCAGTTTATTAATGCGGAAATAAATAAGCAACCAAGGTCCTTGGAGATCCTTGAGGATTCCCATCTTACAAATATGGAACCTAAAGATCAGAAATCATGATGGTAAATTCCTGTTATATCCTAGATATTCAGGAGGCTGAAGTAAGAGTGCAAGTTTGAGACCAACTTAATGAGACCGTCTCACAAAATAAAAAGGATTGGGGCTAGAGGGTAAGGCAAGAAGATCGCTGCAAGTTCGAGGCTGACCTGGGCTACATAGCAAGACCCTGTCCCAGAAACAAGGAAAAGACTGGGGTTGTAATTCTAGTGGTTCCCTTGAGTTCCCTTGAGTTTGATCCCCGACTCCCTCCCTCCACACATTCACAAAGATAAGAGAATGAAGATAAGTCATCATCCTCATGCTTTCTGTCTTTCTGAGCTTCTCACATTAACTGGTTCCTCACTTTTCAGGTGGCTGCACTAAGCTTTGCAGCAAAACACCATTAGCGAGGTTTCTGTAAAGGTATCTGGGACTGTACTCATTTATTCAGCAAACATTTTTTTGAGCATCTACCATGTGTCAGGCACTGTTCAAAACTCAAAAAATATAGTAGTGTACAAAGATAATCTAGCTCTCATAAAGTTTTCATTTCTATTCCTCCTTCCTGAAACGAGTTTAGGATTATTAGTGACTTGTAAGGTCTTTGCAGGCTTTGATTCACTCTTCTGTTTCTTCTCTCCCATCCTAAGCATCACATAATAAGGGCAACTCTAAGCAGCTTTGAGAACACAATTGAGATTTCCTCTCTGTGGGTGGTTTGGGCTGAGGATGACTACACAATCACTTATAAAACCAGAAAGTTATTTGTAAAAGGACATTGGACCCATTCACACCATTCTTGAGTTGGAGTGGTGGTGCATGCCCAACACTCAGGAGGCAGGAAGACTGCCATGATTTCAAACCCAGCCTGGGCTACATGATGGGTTCAAGGCCAGCCTGAACAGCACAGCAAATCCTCCCTACCCCCCCCCCCAAAAAAAACCCACCTCCAACAAGTCAAAACAAACATCATTCTCCAGGGGAAGATCATGTAGAAAATGGAGAATTTGAGGCCTTGAGAGGTACAGTGTCTTGTTGGATTCACAGAATCAGGAGCAGAGACAAGGTTCACATGGTACCCTGTATCAGGGTGACTGGCAAGTCACACATATCATTCTTACTTTATAGATGAAACCAGGGCTCAGAGAAGTGGACAACACAGCACAAATGAAGTATCAACAAATTGCTTGCAGTCCACTAGGGAGACGCTTAGCCAAATCCTGTGAAAAGGATTCAGGCTAGATGTGAGTCCCAGCTAACTTTTGGATTTATAGTAAGTCAGTCCTTTCAGTGAAGGACAGTACCTGGGTTGCTCAAGATTATATATGGAAAGTGCGTCCAGTATAGAGGGAAAGAACAAAGCCCAGTAGAGCCTTCTTACAGGTGGAAGAATGGGAAGGGGACCAGCCACCTCTTGATAGCTCAAGGTGGCTTGGGACAAACTCATTTCCCCTTGCTGGGCCCTGCCCTCCCTGTGGCCCTGACTACTTACCAGCTGAGCTGTGCCCCCTGGTGGATGAGAAGGCTTACAGTGCTGCACCCCAGCACCAACAGCAGGATTTTCCTGCGGGTCATCATCTTGGTGGCCTGCTGCAGGCGCTGGAGAATGGGTGGCATGGTGGAGTGCCTACCTCTGGTCCACCCAGGGCCTTGCTATCCAGGACTCCCTCCACCAGCACTCATGGGGGGTCCTGGGGCTCTGGTAGCAGGGCCAGGGTTCCCGAGAAGCCTGGCAAGAGAAGGAGGCAGACAGGTTTGCAGGAGGCAGAGAAGATGGGCTCCAGGTCCTAGCAGGACTGCTGCAAAGGAGAACTCCAGTGAGTGGGGTGAGCAGAGTGGCCAGAGCAGATCAGATTCATACCTCCTGTTACCAAGGCCCTATATTCTCACTGTTCCAGATAGCCTAGTCTTGGGTGGAATTACAGGGCCTGGGGCGTGGCCAGCCCTTCAGACTGTAGCCACTCTGTCCCTTGGCCCCGTCTCTGCCTTTCTGTCCCTAACTAGTCTTTGTCTCATGGCCATTTGTATCTGTCCCCATAGCAGGCTGGCCTTAGCACTTGCATGCGGCTTAGAGTACTGAAGTCTCAGCCCAAGGTTTCCCTTGCTTCCAGACTTCTTGGCTGGTTGCCTCTACCAAGGAGGTGGCCCTGATTCCCCAAAGACATAGCTCCTCAGAAACATGGGCCAGACTTTCACTTTCTCGAGTCCCAGATGGGTTTTTCAGGCTTACTGTAGGTTCCATGCTATTACATACCTAACCCATTTAATCCTCCCTACCACACTAATATAGGTAGCACTCCTACTTTATAGATGAGGAAAATGAGCCTCTGAGAGGCAATGTCACTTTTCCATGGTTACACAGCTGGGACAGCAGAACCATACCTCAGACCTGCTCTTTCTGGCTTCAGAGTTCATGCCCTTGGATATATACTATTTCCATAGAAGACTGATTTCCCCATCTGTCTGGACTCTGCTAGTTCTGCATGCATCTCAGCACTGAGCATTCCTGGCTGGCCTCCTGCCTAGAGGGCCTAGGATCCATAAATGCAGGGGGAAAAGAAGGACTTGAAATCCTGGGATTCTATCTGGAACCTGAAACCTAGGCAGCTCCATCAGCTGTCTCTGTGGTGGAGGTGACTGGCTAAGGCACAATGGCAGCCTTGAGGGACAGGGAAGGAGTGTGGGGAATACAGAGGTGGTGCCTGTTGTGGCGCTGGCAACAATCTCTAGCAAGAAGTGAGCCTCCATCTCAGGTGTGTGGCAGCAGAGAGAGGTGGGAGAAGGTTTCTGGTCAGTCTCCTCTTCCTATGTCGATGCCATGGCTCAAAAACAGCCATGGGCTGGGTGTAGTGGTGCATGCCTGTAATCCCAGTACTTGGGCGGCTAAGGCAGGAGGATCACTGTAAAATCGAGGGCATCCTGGGCTAAAGTGTGTTCAAGGCCAGTCTGAACTGCATAGTAATACCCTGTCTCAAAAAAAGAAAAAAAGACAACCCAAACCCTTGGCAGCCTGGGTAGAAAGTCATCTTCAGCAGCCATACCTGTCCCTGGGAGACAGTTGGTCTCTGTCTTGCCCCATGGGCATGTGTCTGTGTCTAGATTCAGGCTCAGGTTTAACTGTTTCATACATACCTCCTCTCCAAAGGGGAGAGGGCTTGGAACCTTATGGACACATGTATGTGGAATTAGGACATCTGGGTCCCGGAGAGGTGAGATAATGTGACCACCACCTACTCTTGGCTTCCAATCCCTCTTTACCCCCATTCCCCATTAATCCTGGATTACATGTAAACCTGTTTAGGTAAAAAGATGTCCTAGTTATGCTTCCCCTTCTCTCCAGGCCCCATCACCTGGTTTCTTCCACCAGCCTTCAGACAAACTAATCTTCCTAGAGCCAAGGGGCTGAACAGCCAAGATGACAACCAAGTGCACAGCAGAGCCAGCGTTGGGGCCCTGCCTTTTCAGGGATGGCTATAGCAGAGTAGGGTTGGCTCAGCCTGGGTAGAGTGACCAGCAAGAGGAAGTCAGAGTTCTTGGTCCTCCCATGATGAATTCCTTCTCTTTGTCATGCATCCTGCCTAGAGGATTTGGGGACCAGGTGGGAGTTTTCCAAGGGGCAAAGTGAAGAGCAAATTTATTGCCACCTTTGCTAAACTTGTTGAAACCTCATTATTTCCCAGAAGAATTGGGGCCAGCTGAGGAGGTCACAAGTATGGGAAACCACAGCAGGCCCTTCCCTGGCCATACAGAGGGCGATGGGGTGGCCTGATAACACCTCAACCCCAGTTGGATGTCTGCCAGGGCATGAATATCAGGGGGTGTAGGAATTCTGTGCATACCCGGCCCTCAGGGTCAGTGAAGACTGCTCATCACTTCTGGATTTATCTTGGTCCATTACTGAGCAGCCTCCAAGTTACAGAGTTTCTTGGGACAGTGGGCTCACCCTGGTGGCTGTAGCCTCCCCATTCTCTTCTGGGCTGTGAAGCTCCTGCTGTCTTCCCAGAGTACGTAGCACATTTTCTCCATGACAAACCTTCAGGTATTTGAAAGCAGGAACCCTGGCTCCTGCGGGTAGGCACCCAGCCAGACAAAAAATTCCAGGTCCAGAGAGAGGGTTCTGCTCGGATACTGGACGAGGCCTGCCCACTTCAGCCAGGTCAATGTAAGATTTTCTTTTTGGAGATGAACTTAGAGCAGGGGAGATGGAGGGTCATCTCAGCTGGCTTTCCCTGTGGTCTCAAGGCTGATGCGGGTGGGTGGCAGCAATGTTTGGCCAGGCTTTAGAGCTACTGCTTGCAAGAGTCTCCAGACTACTCCCCAGTGTGTTCTTCCCAGAGAGAGAGGTTCCCACTGCCATTCCAGGCAGGTCAGGGCGCCAGCCTCATCAGAATATCAGAGCTAATTTTAGGCAGAACAATCTACCTCAGGCTGCTGCCCAGTTTTGCAAATTGCATTCTTTTCTCCAGGGAACCAAAGAAGAAATGGTATAAATGGCAAGCGCTTTGAAAACTGGCCTGCATGTCCTCCCCAACCCACTGAACCCCTTCTCTGTGCCCTCTCTGCTCCATAGCTGACACCAGGGCACTAAAAGGAGGGGGCGCCCTGGCCTGAACCACTGGGACTGACCTCCTGATGACCTGGAAACTCCATTCTGACCTGCAGGATGGCACAGACTGTGGAGGAGAGAAAGTGACCCAGGGCCCCAGAGAAAAAAGCAGCCAGGGTAGAGGGGGTAGCACATTCATGGCCTAGGAGATCGAATATCTTTCCACCTCCCACTTTTCCTCCCTACCCCCAGCCTGTACCAGGTCCCCCATGCCTCCTGTCCCTGTCATACACCCCCGCTCCATCGCTGCCTCTGAATTCCTTCTTCCTCCGTTCTCCATCACAATCCTCTCCTTAATCCCCCCAATTCCCTCAATTTCACTCCGGCTTTTTCCAGGGATCCTTGCACCGGTATCTGGTCACCACAGGAGACAGGCCAGAATCACCCTCTTACCCAGTCCGTCCCTCTCTCCCTGGAGGCAGCAGAGAGCCCCTTCCTCATGGTCTCCGGGAACTAGGCCCCCACAGCACTCTCCCTTCCCGCCTCTTGCTTGTTCCCCATCCCCGTGCGGTCCAGCCCCTGTCCAGCCCCAGAGTAACCACTGCAGTACTCACGCCGCACGCGCGGGCTCGATCTCTGATCCGGGTGAGGAGGGGCTCCCAGTTCCCTCTGGCCCTTGTTCCGAAATCCCCAGGGGTCCGAGGACTCCGGGGCCCTGAGCGCAGAGTGCTGGGTCGATAGCCTCTTTGCGCTTGGAGGGGATCAGGTGGCGTCGGCGCTCGCTCGGCTGCTCTCGGCTCTGCGCGCCACCCGCCCCCAATCTCACACCGGAGGCGGGGCGGGGGCGGGGGCCGACTGCGCAGGGGAGGGGGAGAGGAGTGGGAAGGGGAGGCAGGTTCCCTGGCTTGTGAGCTGTCTGTGAACACTCTCTGGGTGGCATCTTTAGATGTGAGAACCTTTTTCCTGCAACCTTGCAGAGCTGTGCCAGCTCCCTGCTTTCACTCACCAGAAGGAAACTAAGTCAGGAACGTGTCTGCCTACTCTGGCATTACTGAACGTTCTGGGGCCCCACTGATCATCCTTGGGTTGGTGGAGCCATTTTCCAGGATGTTCGGGCTGCAGCTACACTCAAAGGCTCACTTGCGCTTTCCTCCCCTTCTCTTCCTCCCTCTAGCAGAGAAAGCTGCAGCTGTGTCAGATTTGGTGTGCCCTTGCCGCCCCTTCCCTTCCAGCGTGTTCCCCTGCTGCTCACACACTCTGTTCACTCTTGACCAGAGCTTTCTTCTCACTGGAACCTCTGCCCAGATATCTTGCACCAGGAATCGAGACTCTGAGTCCAACTCTGGTTTGTTTGTAGGTCCCAGAAGTGAGAGGCAACTCCCTGAGCTCTGCTGCTTCCAGCTCTACACATGAAGGCTCTGTACAGACTCCTTAGCCCATAGGGGTTTTTTTTTCCGTACCGAGGATCAAACTCACAACCTAGCACTTGCCAGGTAGACACTTATGTTGCTGAACTAAATCCCCGGCCTCGGGGACTGGGGATTTAGCTCAGTGGCATAAGCGCCTGCCTTGCAGGCAGGTGGTCATGAGTTTGATCCCCGGTACTGATAAAAAGAAAAAAGACAAAATCAATCAATCAATCAATCAATCCCCGGCCTCTAGTCCTTAGCTCTTGGAAGCTGGGCAGCAGCTCCTCTCAAAGCCATGCCAGACACCAGAAGCCTCATCTTTGGTCCTGTGACTGGCAAGGATCCCTACTTCTTCTTTACTCTGGACTCCATCAGGCAAGGATCCTATTGGGACAGGAGGGGGCTGAATGTTCCCTTCTAGGGGAACAATGCAGACAATAAGTAGGTTTTATGTAAACATCCATGCTAAGGAAGAGGTAGGAGTGGGAAAGCTGCTTATTGCACCAGTTTTGCCCCTTGAGAGCATGTCAGCTCTTTGGCCTTCAGTCTTTCCTTCTGCATAAATAGGTAGTATTGCTATTTTTTTTTTTTTTTTTTTTTTTTTGGTATGGGGGTTCAAACTCATGATCTCGCGCTTGCAAGGCAGGCACTTATGCCACTGAGCTAAATTCCCAGCCTTCCAAATAGGGAGTAGTGGTGGTATTATATGTGTGTGGAGGGGAGTACCTTGTCTGCATCCTAGGATTACTGTGATAAAATGAGGTCCCAGTTGGAGTGTCCCTTTCTGGCCCTAGCTACATTAACTTCTCACCCATGAACTCTTAGCTTATTTTGTTTTAGAGACCCCTCCCTCTGCCCCAGCACAATCTGGCTGTGTGGGGCCTCCAGCCTCAAATGACCTGCCCTAGACTCTCCAGTTACTAGTAGTAGAAAGAACTTGCCTTTGAGTTAGAAATGGTTCTGTCTGAGTGGGCTGACAAACAGAAGGAAAATACCACTGTTCTTTCTCCTGTGCCTGTGCTGTCATTTCTGGTTTTGGCGTCCTCTCTGGGAGTGGTAGGAGGAACCTGGGGGTAGTGAATGTGATGGCAGAAGGAAAGGTCAAGGTTTGTGTAGAATCAAAGAGAATCCAGGGATAGGAAGGCAGCTAACTTGTCTTGGCCCAGTCCTTTTCCTCTCTTTTTCTCAAACCTTTCCTTCCCTACCTCATTCTTGTTTCTCTACTCCCATCTATGCTCCATTGGGGATAGCAAGTGAAATGCAGCCAACTAGACAGAAGATCTGAAGGGCACCTGGAAGGAAAATGAGAAAATGTCACTTGTTTTTCCCTTATTTGCTCAACACATACACAGAAACTCAAACAGGTTGTCCTTGAGAGGGCAGAGCTAGAGGCAGGGGTGGGAAGAGAAACAAGATTGAAGGACAGTTAGAATTGGAAGCTGGACAGGGAAGGTTCACTTGTGAATTCCCACCTCTGGCCCCAAGACAGGTCTTGAGATTATTATCTTTTTGAGACAAAATCTCATTATGTAGTTCAGGCTAGCCTTGAAATCATTGTGTAGCCCAGGATGTCTGTCCTCAAACTTGCAGGATTCTTGTGCCTCAGTCTTTTGAGTGCTGGGATTACAGGCATGCTGGATACCTAGTCTGAGTTTATTTCTAAGACTAAAAAAAGGTACAAAATATATTTCTTCCCCCATATTAGTTGGCACTTGAACACCAGGTTAGTTGCTCACGCTCTTTTGGGGGGACGCTGGGTGTGGGGTGACTTGGAATGAGGTAGGGAGAAAAGGCAAAATTTAAAAACGAATGGTGGAAATGCAAGCTCCAAGTAAGTAAAAGAAAGCAGGGGAAGGCTAGATGGAGAAGACATCTGAGCCAGTCTGAAAGGTGGAAAAGGGGGGCGTTAGTGTCACCCTTCCCCCCAGGTGGCAGCTGGAGTTCAGCCCGGGCGCCCGTTCCTCTTACGGCTCCGATTGCCTTTCAGCCCATTCATCTATGCCTGGGTCGGGGGCGGGCGGGCAGACAATCAGACACTGTTTTATCGCAGGCGTCGGCTCCAACCTCCCTCTTGGTAGCGGGGAAATGTGTTTCTCCGTCCTCCCTGGGGATTTAAGCGTCTGGGCTTGTGACGCCTGGGTAGGGAGTCGGGCCGGAAGGCTGTGGGCGGTCGGGCAGGTGAGATGCAGAAAATATCCCCTCAGGGCAGGGCCTGTGTCCTGGCCGCTGCGTTACTAAGGGTGTATGCGAGCTCGGTCTTCCAGACACTAGACCTATGAGGCCGCCACCCGCGTACTACAACTCCCATCAGGCTTTACATGAGGCCGCTCGCAGGCGCGTCTGAGGCGAAGCGCACCACTCGGCGTGCGGCGGTGCCGGAAGTTCCGGGAAGTGGACCCCAGGCCGGCCTGAGCTTCCGGGTTGGTCGCGCGCCTTCCCTCGGCTAAGATGGCGACTGACCATTCCGAGCCTCCCAAAGGAGAACTGCAGTTGCCTCCACCGCCTCCTCCAGGCCACTATGGTGCCTGGGCTTCCCAGGAACTTCAGGCCAAGCTGGCAGAGATTGGAGCTCCGATCCAGGGTGAGGAGCATGGGAGGTCAGGAGAGAACCGCGTAGTCTGAGAAGCGGAGCGTGGTTTTCCGGGAGACCCGGGAGGACGGGTCGGAGGCGAGCCGCCAGGGTCTGCCGTGGCTCTGCTGGCCTGCCCCACTGATCCTCTGATTTACCCCGTAGGGAGTCGCGAGGAGCTGGTGGAGCGCCTACAGACTTACACCCGCCAGGTAAGTGTTGGCGGCGGTACTTGAATATAGGCGGAGCTTCTGGAGGCCTTCACGCCCCCTCACTGCTAAGTCTTTATTCTTTATGCACTTGGGGATGCTTGGCCTTTTCGCCTGTTCTTGGCATTGCCTGCTTTGTTGTAATGTGTTTCTATCCATATTGCTTCGATTGGGTACCCAGCTCAAACTCAGACAGATAGCTGCTTGGTAAATATTGTTGAACGAATGGGAGAGAACTTCGTTTAGTGGAACAACTCCTCTTGAACTGACCTAGAGCACTTCTTTATTTTTCTGCAGACTGGCATCGTACTCAGTCGGCCGGTTTTGAGGGGGGAGGATGGGGACAAAGCTGCTCCCCCTCCCATGTCTGCCCAGGTAAGAAAGTTGTTTCCTGTCCTAGAATCTCTCTTGCACCAGCTAGGCCCATCTTTCACATAGATTGTACTGAGGATGCAGTTAACAGATTGAGTAGGAAAGTCCTGCGATTACATAATTGGGAACTTTTCTCTTGTGCAGACACTTATCACTTCTTTTGAGGCCTGCATCTCTAAATTCTACCTGTCATTCAAGTTTAAACTTGGGTAGCTGGAATCTTAACTTAATTCTCTTTGAGCTGAAAATAGGTACATTCTTTGCTCCCTCAGGGTAGCTCCCATATTGGTGAGACACTAGGGCTGACTTTTTTGATTATGTACTCCTTGCATTGGGGTTTGCAGTGGCCTGGCACAGTGGTTCCTGTTTATTTAAGTCTTCTCAATTTTCATGTCCCTTCTGATTCAGGATTTGATACTTTTTCTACAAAGATGTGGCTCTGACCTGAAATTTATTGATTCTCAATGTGGAGTGTGGAGTCCTTAGATGGTTTTTAGAGGTGTCCCTGAGCCTCCTGAAGTTGAATGAAAAACGTGTGTTTATGATTCTTTTCTGGGAAGAGTCAATACATTACTTTGGTTGATGTCCCAGAGTTAGCATTCTCTTGTGGAGTCATGTATAGTTTGGCTTTGAATCTTAGCACCTGGTTCATGATAGAACCTCTGCAAATGTTTGAATAGGTAAATGGTTCTTAATTTATTGTCGTATTATTTTTTTCTGCAGCTTTCTGGGATTCCCATGCCACCACCCCCCATGGGACTTCCTCCTCTGCAGCCTCCTCCGCCACCCCCGCCACCTCCACCAGGCCTTGGGCTTGGCTTTCCTATGGCTCACCCACCCAATTTGGGGCCCCCGCCTCCTCTTCGTGTGGGTGAGCCTGTGGCACTGTCTGAAGAGGAGCGGTTGAAGCTGGTGCAGCAGCAAGCAGCATTGCTGATGCAGCAAGAGGAACGTGCCAAACAGGTAGGCAGGCGGATGCTTACACCTGGGTCTCATTAGGTCCCTAAAGGGGGAGTGGAGCCTCAGAAAGCTGGATGATACTGGGGCCACATTTGGGAAGATCTCGACCAAAGATTGGAGGACAGGTCTTAGGCTGGAATAGGATCCCAGGTAGCAAGAATTGTGGCAGATTGGCCTGGGGGATATTGGTGCTGGTATGAGCTTGTTTTCTCTTTTAAGCAGGGAGATCATTCATTGAAGGAACATGAGCTCTTGGAGCAGCAGAAGCGGGTAATACCCCTCTCCCTAACCTTTGACCTCATGGTCCAGTCCAAAGACTGTCACTTATGGTCCTTGGTGTCCAAAATAAGATGCATCATTCAGGTTTTCCTTGGAGGCTACCTAATTCCTAACTAAGTTCCAGTATCTTCCAAGGGATTCCATTTTACCTATAGTCCAGATATTGGCAAACTACAACCTGTGACCTACTTTTGTATAGCTTGTGAATGAAAAATGATGTGTATACTTTTAAAAGATTGTTTATAAAAACAAACTCACATTAAGAATATGTGAAAGGATCCATGTAATAGCACATAAAACCTAAAAATTACCTTTTGGCCCATTATGGAAAAACTGCCTTAGAGAGAAGGCGCCTTGGAGAGAATGGCGGCAAATTTAGTCATTAGAGAATGCTTAGTATTAGTTGTTACCCAGTGGGTTACTCAGAAATATTAGAAAATAAGGATTAAAAGCCTAAGTTTTACATATATATATGAAGTAGAGGCTTTGCACAGATTTTGGCAATTTTTTAAGAAAAACTAAGTAAAGGATCTATAGTTCTAAATTACTTACTGCTTGGGTATGCTGGTGTACATCTGTAATCCCAGCGCTTGAGAGGTCAAGGCAGGAGGATCGACATGAGTTCCAAGCCAGCCTACATAGTGAGTTTAAGGATAGCCTAAACTGCACAGAAAGACCTTATCTCAGGAAAAAAAAAAGTATTGGGGAAGAAAATTCTCACTGAAAAGCTAGAAGACCATGTTTAGCTAAACAGTAAGTCCTTTTAAAAACTAGAAATTTCCTGGGGTTTTCCTTGGTGTTATTTCCATGGATTTTCTGTTGTGATGACAGGGCTTCTCTAATTGTGATCATAGCCTGAAAGTTGGGGGTGGAAGGGAGGTCAGAACAGGAGTGGTTCCTGATCTCCTCAGGTCTGTTACCCAGCTGAAAGAATGGATTTGCCAGGGGCTGCCTGCCAAACATGTTTTCAAGCTGTGTTTCCACTCCCCCTTCCCTCCTGCAGGCCGCTGTGTTACTGGAGCAGGAGCGGCAGCAGGAGATTGCCAAGATGGGCACCCCAGTCCCTCGGCCCCCACAAGACATGGGGCAGATTGGCGTTCGAACTCCCCTGGGGCCTCGAGGTAGGGCCCTGGGATGATAGGAAAGAACAGGGAAGACAATTTAAATGTTTTAAAAACATTTTTTTCCTCCTGGTACTGGGGAACCTAGGGCCTTGTGCAGGCTAAATATGCAGTCTGCCACTAAGCTTTACCCCAGGCCCCCAAAGGATGTTTAGGTATGGTGATCCTTCCCTGTCTACTGACAGCACCCAAGCGTTCAACTATGGGTTGACAGTACAACAGATTTTGCATCTAGTTGGTGTGGTGCTGTGTGCCTGTAATCCCTGTACTTGGGAAGTAGAAGCAGGAGAGTTGCCATGAGTTCTAGGGCAGCCTGGGTTATACAGTGAGTTTAAGGCCAGCTTAAACTACATGATGACACTTTGTCTCAAAAAGCAAAACAAAAAGTTTGCATCTGTACTGAACTTGTACAGGCTTTATTTCTCGTCATGCTTACATAAACAATGAAGTGACTCCATAGTATTTACATTTTATTAGGTGTTGTGTGTAAGCTAGAAATGATGTGAAGTGTGAAGGTTTGGGTAGGTTTTAGGCAAATACTATGCTACTTGATATATGAAATTTGAACATTCTCGGATTTTGGTATTCATGTGGTGTCCTGAGACAGATTCCCTATAGATAACAAGGAACAACTGAGTGGATCACATTTAAAAAGTGCACATATGGGAAATGTGTAGTGAATTTGCACAAACCGAATAACTCAACAGCCAGCATGGGGATCAAAAACCAAGACATTCTCAGCACCCCAAAAGCACTCCTGCCCTGAGGGGTAAACATAACCATCTCTCTTGATTTTTAGCAAAGGGAGTGTTTTTTTTTTAAAGGAGTATTTTGTTTCTTCTGGCATTGGACTTCTTTTTCTTTCTTTTTGCAGTAGCGGCTCCAGTAGGTCCTGTGGGGCCCACTCCCACTGTATTGCCCATGGGGGCCCCTGTTCCCCGGCCTCGTGGTCCCCCACCGCCCCCTGGAGATGAGAATAGAGAGGTGAAACTGATGATTTCTTCCTAGGGATAGAAGAGTGGTGGTTTGGAAGGGATCTATGTCAAGATTTTATAGAAGGGTTCTGTGAAAAGATTGGGAGGGTTTAGATCTTTTGGGGGGGGTGGCACACTTAGTTAAAATGTTTAGGTTTGTCAGATTTGGGAGTATTTCTGGGGCAGAGTTGGGATTCCCTTTAGGGGATGCTGCACCTTGTTGAGTTTAGTTGGTGTTGCTTACTATCTGTCTGTTGTTGACAGCCTTGATAGGAGAAGAGGGGAGGAAGTGAGAGGAGAAAGGGCACTGTGTCAGGCCCTCTGACTTGGTTGTGTCTGGCAGATCGATGATCCCTCTGTGGGCCCCAAGATCCCCCAGGCTTTGGAGAAGATCTTGCAACTGAAGGAGAGCCGCCAGGAAGAGATGAACTCACAGCAGGGTGAGTATTGGTGTGCCCTAAACCTTCAGGCCCAGAAGCTGAAGAGGCAAGGCTGCATCCTCTTCTTGTTTCCCTCCTTCCTCATTCCCCTCCCTCCTCTTTTCTGTCCCTTTCGTAAGAAGGGTCCAGAGAGTGGTTAGCTCTTGGCAAAGAGAAGTTACTGTGGAGTACTCTGAGGAGACTTGACTTCTACCTTCTTCCCTGGCAGAGGAAGAGGAAATGGAAACAGACACTCGCTCCTCCCTGGGCCAGTCAGCGTCAGAGACTGAGGAGGACACAGTGTCCATATCTAAAAAGGAGGTATGGAGGTGGTCTGGAAGGATTGTTGGTCTGGGTACTAATGTG